TATTATATTATAGGAAGGATATTGTATTATATTATAGGAAGGATATTGTATTATATTATAGGAAGGATATTGTATTATATTATAGGAAGGATATTGTATTATATTATAGGAAGGATATTGTATTATATTATACGGGGGCCACCTAGTGGACTTCTTATCATACACACAGACGGCAGCTTTCATAAAGGCGAAGAAAGCGGCAACAATTCGGCTTCATTCGCGCTCTGCGGCAGGAATCTCAAATATCCCCGTTTAGCTGCAGCCGCTGTTCAGGTCAATGACCGGGTGACGGCGGCCGCATCTGTAAGGAGCAGTCCTCGTGTAATCCTATGTGATACAATGACGTGGTTTAGAACAGATCACTGTCCCGGGATGCCGGATAGATGCGTCCGGGGGCAGCGATCCATTCCGAACCACGTGTAATCATATCATGAGGGCCTCATTCCCACAGTGTAGAGTCGGGCCGTACGGATCCGTGCGGCATGCACAACCGTATCGGGCCGCTCCCGGGAGGGACGGGTGCTGCGTGTGGTTGCACACAGCAGCGTGTTCTTCTCTATAATCTGTCACTTTCATGCTATCAAAATTGGCGGGAACATGATGTCATGGGGTCAATGTGGAGGTTGATGATTGGCCATTCTGATTAGGGTTGGGGCTTTATATCAGCTGTGTTTATGTGCACTTACACTGTATGTTTTACCTGATGAAGGGGATCCTCTGTGAACCCCGAAACGTTCGTTGTTTTTTACCACGATGCACGTCAATAAATAGACGTATTTTGCAAATTTGGAGTGCCGGTGTCTCTGCTTCAGCTCACTTCTCTATAGGAGGACGCGGCCGCACGCTGACATATGCACACCCGAACTGCACGTCTGTGCGGGTCCGGGTGTCCATGCTCGGACGCAGACAGGATCCATCCTTTCTGCGTCCAAGTACGGACACCCGGACCCGCTCGGATGTGCGTGTTGCCGCATCCTCCCATAGAGAAGAACATGATGCTGCGTGCAACCACACGCAGCACCTGTCCCTCCCGGGAGCGGCCCGATACGGATCTGTACGGCCCGACTCTACACTGTGTGAATGAGGCCATTTGATATGATTACATGCGGACTGCCGCTTACAGATGCAGCTTTTTTTTTATGCTTTCGGTGATTGGTTATGTTTTTCTGAGGTTGCGTGTAAATAAAGCTTTGTATGATTGTCCGTGGTGTTACCTGTTTCTTTTACTGCAGTCTCTGTCTGCGGGGTGTTTGCTGCCCTCACAAGAGACCAGCAACCCCCCCGATCATTGCTGCACCATTCATAGCTGACCTTCCACTCTCCTTTCCTCTCAGCCAGCGATGCCAAGGAGCGCCAGCACTGGGTGAGCCGGCTGCAGATCTGTACCCAGCACCACACAGAGGCCATTGGAAAGGTACGTGATTGGTTGAAAGGCCTATACACAGAGCGAGCAGCGTCATCTCCCATTGTATCCGGCACGGCAGAATGTTTATTCACGTCTTCTTTAAATTGTGCTGCAATAAGAATGTCGGGATCTCTGAGAAGTGATTGCTGATTGGTTCTTGTTGCCGTCCACCATTGTCTTGTTGGTCCTCATTCTTATCCTTCTTTTTCTTCTGGTTGGCAGAATAATCCTCCTCTGAAGTCTCGCAGCTTCTCTTTGGCCTCTCAGGGCAGCGGAAACTCCCCGGGGTCCCAAAGGCGGCCCAGTCAGAACCCGGCGTCTCTCAACGTCAACCGAGCATTGCCTGCCAACCGCAGAGCCCAGATCTTACAGCCGGACCACCTGGGAGAAGTCAGAGAGGTGAGTGACGGCTTTGTTACATCTCTGGGGGTCTTCCTCCCCTCTGCAGGCCATGTGTTATCGGGGTCTTCTTCCCCTCTGTAGGCCATGTGTTATCGGGGTCTTCTTCCACAACGCAGGCCATGTGTTATCGGGGTCTTCTTCCCCTCTGCAGGCCATGTGTTATCGGGGTCTTCTTCCCCTCTGCAGGCCATGTGTTATCGGGGTCTTCTTCCCCTCTGCAGGCCATGTGTTATCGGGGTCTTCTTACACAACGCAGGCCATGTGTTACCGGGGTCTTCTTCCCCTCTGCAGGCCTTGTGATATCAGGGTCTTCTTCCCCTCTGTAGGCCATGTGATATCAGGGTCTTCTTCCCCTCTGTAGGCCATGTGTTATCGGGGTCTTCTTCCCCTCTGCAGTCCATGTGTTATCGGGGTCTTCTTCCCTTCTGCAGGCCATGTGTTATCGGGGTGGTCTTCCCCTCTGCAGTCCATGTGTTATTGGGGTCTTCTTCCCCTGTGCAGTCCATGTGTTATCGGGGTCTTCTTACACAACGCAGGCCATGTGTTATCGGGGTCTTCTTCCCCTCTGCAGTCCATGTGTTATCGGGGTCTTCTTCCCTTCATGCCATGTGTTATCGGGGTCTTCTTCCCCTCTGCAGGCCATGTGTTATCGGGGTCTACTACCCCTCTGCAGGCCATGTGTTATCGGGGTCTTCTTCCCCTCTGCAGGCCATGTGTTATCGGGGTCTTCTTCCCCCCTGCAGGCCATGTGTTATCGGGGTCTTCTGCCCCTCTGCAGTCCATGTGTTATCGGGGTCTTCTTCCCTTCATGCCATGTGTTATCGGGGTCTTCTTCCCCTCTGCAGGCCATGTGTTATCGGGGTCTCAGTGTAAATAATGTGAAATAAAGAACGCCGTAAAGCCGCGTACATTCCAGGTCTGTGTAGGAGCGCTCAGTGTTGGCAGTCGGAGTTTTACACATTGTGCAGTTTGTCCGGAAAGTGGCACCCGGTTCAGTCACATTATCTCACCCCAGAGATACCTTACAGAGTGTATGTGGAAACTGTGTAATGTAGACGTGATGGGGACTGATCGTCCACGGATGTGCTGAGCGATCCCGTAATCAGAAACCCTCCATACTGACCTAGAAAATATATGTGGGTGAGGGGGGCAGATATATATCTATCATACGGGTACCGGCTCTGCATCGTGTCCTGACAGATGTGTACGAGAGACGGACTACAAAAGCATCCAAAAACCTTTAAAGTTTCCTTAATCTATCGGGAACTACAAAGCAGTCTTGGCTTTAAATATACCTAAAGGGACAAGGTGTGAGCTCTGTAGCTTCTTCAGAATATTTGGGGATGTACAATTCATCGAATGTGCATGGAAGTGATGAGTTTATTAAATATATTCTGTGTCCTCTTATAGTCTGTGTGTCGCTCAGGAGGAAATCAGAGTTCCGGGACATTGCTGGAGTGTAACATGTTCTCTCTTCTTCTCCCCCCTTCCCTTCAATCACCTCTCTCTCTCTCTCCCCCCTTCCCTCCTCCCTTTTCTTTTCTCTCCCCTTTTCTTTTCTCTCCCCTTTTCTTTTCTCTCCCCTTTTCTTTTCTCTCCCCTTTTCTTTTCTCTCCCCTTTTCTTTTCTCTCCCCTTTTCTTTTCTCTCCCCTTCCCTCCATCTCTCCCCCTCCCAGATGATGACCCAGGCCGAGGGTCAGCAGAGGGACCTCATGCGCACCATTGAAGGTCTTCCTCCCAGTGGCCAGTGGAGCTCCCTGGACCAGGACCTCCTGATGCTGAAAGCCACTTCCATGGCCACACTGAACTGCCTGAACGATTGCTTCCACATGCTGCACCAGCAACACGCGGCCTTACAGAAGAGCGTCCTGCCATTGGGTGAGTCCAGCTGTGTACATCCGGCTTCTGTGGCTCAGCCTGTCAATAGCTCTGTACTATGCTCTGCACGCCCTCATTATCCGGGGAGTGTGCAGGTATAATGATCCCTATTATCACATTCTACAAGGTGTTTAAAGCATCTGTGTCATAGATGAACAAAACCTACTGATGGGGGATAAAGGTCAGCCCCGTCCGGTGCCCTGGAATGGGGTGATGGTCAGGTGCCCCCGAACATTTGGTCGTATAGTGCACATTATAACTACTCTCAGTTACAGTCCTCGTGGGTGTCCCGGGCTTTGTATTGTGTTACCAGACATTCAGCTGTTATCAGTCCTATTAATGTTTGCACTCGGGGGGCTCGGGGGCCTCAGACACAAGAATGGACTATGTGAATAATTCATGCCGGGCACTCTCTTCTGCTTGACTGATCAGTTGTGGTGTAAGGGGAGAGCAGGTCATGGCTCCGGGTGAATTGGTCTGGAAGACACCTGCGCACACCTAGTCTCTGGGTACTGTGAGAACTCGGTACATGTCCGTGTTACCGCCTGATTTTGGGTCCTGGCGCGTGTGTGCGCTTTGTACAAAGTGATGCTTTCTCTGTCTCCTCTGCAGAACAAGAGCGGCATTCTCACTACGGTGTCACTTTACACCGCCAGTGTCTGGTTCCCTGTGCCTGGTCAGGTGATGGCTGTGACTCTCCCAGCCAATCGCGGGCGAGCATGCTAAATATTGGGCTGGTCCTGTGAAAGGTGCTGCTGCTGCCGCCATAGATAACATTGTTCCTGTCTGCAGCTCGTCAGTTCCTTCCTGCTGCTCACCTGGAATACACACACTCCTCCCCCACGAGGGCCGCTTCCTGCCCCACGCTGTGTCCGGATGATGATTACCCTTCGCAGGGCGAGTCCCCTTCTCTAACGCGCCCCCCCCCCGG